CAGCAGCAGCAGCACCACCGACGTCTCGTACACCCTGGCCATGATGCCCTGGGGGAGCGGGGTTAGCGAGGAGCTGGGGATAAGGGGGGACAGAGGGGGAACATCCGTGGGGGTCTCCTACCTTCTTGGAGCCCACAAAGCCCTCCGACTCGGTGAAGAAGTAGGCAAAGGGCATGAGGAAGACAAGGGACAGATTGGAGAAGAGGAAGACCAAGTTCCAGAGGCCTGGAGGGGTGGGATGGCATGGGATGAGCTCTCAAGGAGCCAACCCTGACCCACACCCCTTGGGGCACCCTGGGGCTGCCCCACGCACCCACCATGGATGAGGGAGCCATTCAGCCACTGGATGTAGTAGTTTTGGGGGAAGGAGAGCAGCACCTCGTTGCTGATGATGGAGAAGGGCAGCAGGAGGACGGCGCCCAGCGCCACGGCCAGCGTGAAGGTGCACAGCCCCAGTCTGCGGGAGGGATGAGCATCGGCTCCAGGTTTGGGCCCCCACGGGTGTCACAGCCCGGATACGGTCCCCAGGGTCACCGGCCCCCATGGGCTGGGGGAAGCCAGGGTCCTGGCCAGGCAGGGAGAGGAAGTGGCCGCGCATCCCGCCGGCAGGGAGAGGGACGGGCAGGAACTTACGCAATCCTGTTGACAGCAGCATCCTCGTCATCATGAACTGCAGAGGGAAAATCCGAACTAAGGGGGCTCGGGGAAGCAGGGCTGCCCAGGGCATCGCTCCCTGCCAGCTCCCAAACCTCCCCCTCCAGCTCCGAATGCTGCAGAAACACTCCCAGGGGATTTGGCCTCTGCTCCCCTCCCATGGCAGCCGGGGAGGTGCTCCCCAGTGACCAATGCCACAGCAACTCGGGCTGCAGCGGGACCGGGAGGACAAAAGCGATGGAGGAACAAGCTCCGGGGAGGCAGAACGTGGCTGCCAATGGCTGCCCGGCTCTGGCAGCTCCCGCCCTACCTGCTGCGAAGTCCGTGTGCTTCTTGAAGTGGGTTATGATGAAGTGGCAAAGGATGTAGAGGCTGGCAAAGAGCAGGGCACAGATCTGCAGGCAGAGGAGCGTGGGCAGCGCAGGCAGGCCTGGAGGGCAGCACTCCCACCCTGGGCGATGCCACCGGCCCCACGGACCATCAGCTTCACCCTATTTATTTTTCCCCTCCTGGCCCTGGTTACACCCTACACGTGTGCTCGGCCCTGCCTGTGCATGGGGACTGCACCCAGGGCTCACCCATGGGTGCTCACAAGATGCTACAGCAGCTGGGCCAGGGGGTCCACAGGGGCTGAGACCATGGGGAGAGCTCACCCAGCGGCTCTGGGTCAGCCCATGCTGGACCCCGTGGGACACCCCCGTACCACCCGATCCCACAGCCCTCACCCAGCTGGCACCAGCCCCGGGCAGAGCCGCGGGAACAGCCTTGAGCTGGGTGCCAAGGCCGGCTGCAGTGTCCCTCCCACCCCCGCCAGCACGCCGAGGTCCAGCTGGAGCCGGCAACGTTCGAGGAACACGGCGACCTTTCATCCCGCCGGGTACGCGGCAGGACGGGGAAAGGTCGCCCAAGCCTGCCACCTTGGCACCAACGCAGCAGCCGCGTCACCTCCCTCCTGCCCATGGGCTCAGCTGCCCGGGGGTCCGTGGGAGCTGCTGGGTGGGGTGACAGGGAGCCCTGGGAGCCGACCCAGCCCTAAGCCCCCAAGGGAAGGTGCCCAGGAGCTCCCCCCACTCCTGCTTCTGCCCAGGGAAGGGTCTCAGGCTGCAGGTCCCCTCCTGTACCCCACAGGCAAAGGTCTGCCTGGCTGGGGGACCCCAACACCTCCCACACAGCGAGGTCCACGCTGAGCCAGGAGCTCCTGGGTGAGACGCAGCTCCCTGGGATGGGTCGGGGCAGAGGTCTGGGGAGCTCCAGGACAGATGCTGGGCTCTGGCCACGGGCTCCTCCAAGCAGGCACTGATTCGGGTTGTGCCAAGGTGGCCCCGGTGCTGTGGGTCCCAGAGCACCCTGGGGAGATGCCAGGGATTGTTCCCATCCCTGAGCCTGGAGCAGAGGGTGTCTTGGCCAGCAGAGTGGGACCAGAGGAGCAGACCCAGCTGACCCCCTCCACTGTGCCCACGGTTCGGGGGGGCTCCGCAGGACCCCTTCCCGCTGGCACTGAGTGCCCTGTGGAGAGCTGGGGGCAGAACCAGGAGCCTGGCCCGGG